CTAGCTAATATAGTGATAGACATATTTAATGTCATAAAATTTGACATATTGTTAAAATCTAAAACTGAACATATAATATCTCAAACATGTCATAATAATTCGTTTTAAAACAATTTTTCCGAGACATACAGGCATATTGTAAACACTGGACTGGACTTTGGACTTTGGACTTTGGACTTTCGATTTTGAAATTATATTATTTTTTAGATTTTCGTATAATTATATTAAAATCTAAACAGAGAACGAAAATTTGCTGCTGAAAAGCGTGCTACACTGCATGCACATGCATGATATAATAATATACAAGGTAAAAAATCTCTAGTATCAGTTATATAGGTATACCAGCAGTGCAATTTCATACGGATATAGCTTGTAGGACAGCAGGATTTATCCAATATTTTGGGATTTAATATTTAAATTTTATATAATATTTGTATTTATAGTATGCATAGTACAGTGTATACTGCAGAACTTCTTTTTTATCATATAGATAATAGATTAATTGTCAGAAACAATTGTGACAAAAGTGTCTCGGCAAACACAAAATATTAACTATACAAGTGATTATTATCGCGCCTATTGAGTATTGAGTATTGTGACTGTTCATCTTTGCATATTAGTCCGTGTGTTGTGACCTCGAAAAGTGCCTAGAAAACAATTTTCATTAAGCATGTCTTAGAACTGAAATACTTTTACGGGAACTAACACTTTCGAACACGCTGAGTTCAAATCCGAAAAGTTCCCACTCCGTAGACCCGCAGTTTTTTCACAAAATGCTATTTTATCTTCACTTATTTCACAGCAAATTTTTTCATTGTTCAACGTCACGGATCGATGACGATACACTATTATGTCACTCAAAAGGACCAATTTCTATTAACCATTCTTCCTTTTAACAAAAAACCGGTTTTGCTCGAATCATTTTGAGTTATGTAATCTTATGCGTGTTGGACGTAAACAACATATCTTGTCTACAGCTTTGAGAAGGTACAGATAATTCTTTATAATATTCTTAGTTCTGGAACTATCTCTATAAAATCAAAAGGACGTTAATGTCAAGTCTTTGGGCTATGTCTCTGGGCTGAGAAATAATTCCTTACATGGGATCAAAATGTTTTATACAAAGATATAAAACGAGAATCTATATGTAATGGATCAGCATGGAAATTTCCAACACGGTTTTCAAGACGTAATTCAAGAGATAACTTATCATTGCATTTGAACTATTATATCAGTTGGTGTTATACTGTGCGATAAGCGAGTATTATTGGAAAGAGGGCTTCTATATTCGTCGAAATCATCGAATAAACAGCTCATGCACACATTTCTCCACTTCGCGGTAAGTTTACAGAGCATATTTTATACGTTGTGACTGATCTTTGTCTTTGATGTGAACATTTATTCTTATAGCTTAAGGTTATTTAAGATTGATCCTGTCGTAAGTCTTCTACCTGCAAGCATTCGACAATATTTCGTTTTAACGTTGTCTTTGCCGTTACGTTGGCTTTGCGTTACTTTTGTTTTAAATATCTTGATCGTGTTAAATTAGTTACTTTTCTGGCCAGTGACATAGCTAAAAGACTTGACATTAATGCCCTTGTGATTTTATAGAGATATCTCCAGAACTGAGGGTTTTAGAAAGCGTTATCTGTACCTTCTCAAAGTTGTAGACAAAATATGTTGTTTACGTCCAACACGCATAAGATTGCATAACTCAAAATGATTCGAGCAAAACCGATCTTTTGTTAAAAGGAAGAATTGTTAATTGAAATTGGTCCTTTTGAGTGACATAATCTTGTATCCTTATCGATCCGTATCGTTGAACAATGAAAAAATTTGCTGTAAAATTAGTGAAGATAAAATAGCATTTTGTGAAAAAACTGCGGGTCTACGGAGTGGGAACTTTTCGGATTTGAACTCAGCGTGTTCGAAAGTGTTAGTTACCGTAAAAATATTTCAGTTCTAAGACATGCTTAATGAAAGTGAACGATATCGGGTCACAACACACGGACTATATTAAAATAGTTTATACTAGTACTGTATTGTGTAATTGTTTACGCCGTTACACAGTAACGTTTTGTTGATGTTACTTATTTTTGAAAGACATTCTAGTTAGCTATCCTTATCACTATAAGACTATGTGCTTCAGTTATTATTAATAATTAAGTGTTAGTAGATGGACAGGAATATTCGACTAACGGAAATTTACACACTTTTTAAGACCTACTCAGTTGTGTGTGAGAAGGCAAAAATCTATGTCTATGTGCTTCAGGTAGTCTAGCAACTATTTGCCACGTTTACTCAGTAATACTACCACTTGCAAGTGATGAACCAGGCGGGAATCGCAATCGTAGTATAAAGATTAATGCTCAGCCGCATAAAGCCTGCCGCACACGAGAGCTATCTGCTGAGCAAAAAGTTACTCGTGCCTGTTAGCTCAGCTGATAGCAAGTAAACCCAGGGATTTTCAATGTCCCCCTCCTCCCGTAGAGTTCACTTGAAGTGACTGGGGCAAGGTAGCTATAAGTATAAGTAGTTATATTAATTTAATTAAAGTCAATTAAAATTTACAAATTGAGCTTTTTGAATATAGAGCAATGCAAAATTTTTAAAAATTTGTTTAACCCTTTATAGTGGCAATGTCCCTACTTCAGTATATTATTCCGTCTGGTGCCAGACAATTTTACTCAAGGGCAGAATGTATACTTGCCACAAGTCGACCTCGAACGAAACGTTGGCTCACACTCGCTGCTTGCGTTTCGTTTGAGGTCGACTTGTGGCAAGTCTAGGCAGAATGCTGCCACTCAATGAGTTAATATATTCTCAGAACAATTACCATCAAATTTAATCTATTTTGCTGGCAAAATTAGCTTGGAGGGGGTCCTTGATTTGTTGAGTTTTTCTTTTTTTTTTTGGGAGGGGGGTGAGTGTTGTAAAAAACAGAATAGCAACTGGTTTCAGAATAGGAAGAATTGTTGTAATATACAGTAGGTAATATAATTCTAAGACAAATCATCCAAAGGAAGCAATCATTCTAGCTCTTGTAGTGTATGTTGCAACAGGGATGGATTTACTGCGGGGGGGGTGGGGGGTGGGGGGTGGCTGTGCACTCCCCTAGCCCTGGCCAGAGTGGGTGCAGGGGGGTTATATTTTTCATGATAAAGCAAAAAATTATTACAGGCAAAATGAGATACAGTAATTTGAGTAATAACATGATGATAAGCGAGCTGTGAACAACAATTACAATAGTGAAGCAAGTTGATGGGCAGGTGGCACATATGACCAACACAAGTCGGCACCAGAGCTGGCAGAGCACCCCCCCCCCTACCAGATCATGCTGGATCCATCCCTGTGTTGCAAAATGTATTTTCTTCATAGTCAGGCATTCACATGAATGAAAATTAGAATTTCATCATGTTATATAGTCTTAAATATTTAGGAGGGGTCTCCATTATTAAATTAAGAGATTAAAAAGGGGTCCCATGACATTTTGACATAAGAATCTCCCACCCCACCCTAGGGTATAATGAATGGTCACTTAAAGTACATTCCATCTTCTAACTGGTTGGGCACCTTGCCCCTTTTGTGATGGAAAATCTATTCCCTACCTTTATCCCCTGGGACAAAAAATTCAAATCAACTCTCCACCCTGATAATGTGCAGATGGTAACAGCAAGAATTGAAGCACCCTTATGAAAAAAGTCTATAGGTGGCCTATAGGAAATGTTCCAATTCCCTATAGAAGCCAATTCCCTATAGAGCTCTATAGGATTATAGGCATCCCTATAGGTCACCTATAGAAAATGTTCCAATTGCCTATAAAAACCTATAGGTTTCCTATAGGAACCTATAGGTTGGCCTATAGGCCAAGCCTATAGACTTTTTTTGTAAGGGGCGTGAAGCAAGCTTTACTGGAGACTGGAGTACATACTATTATTAGGAAGCATCAATTCGCACATGCTAATTTGCCAGTCATGATTTTAAACGTAATATTTCTTATCTCATATAGAATTCTTAAGGTCTTGTTTACATTTTACTGGAAGCAAACTAAGATGCATATCCAATATTTGGGTCATATCACTCATATGTCAGTTTTGCAGCTTGCCAGCTTCAACATTTGGCTGCAAGGAAAACGTAAACAAGGAAAGAGCATATAACACTCATCTGTGTTTAAAATATCAATGAATAAATATTCCAACCATTGGCACTTTATAATATAAGTGACATTCAACAATAGATCAATAACATATACAGTATATATGCAAAAACATTTCTTTGAATAACTGTATAAAATATTCCTCATAATTCATAAACTCGCTCCAATCGTCGCACAGCAGAGTCTTTGGAAGGGTAAAACCAAGTTTAACATCCCAGTTCAAAACACTTTCCGTGTCCTCTTAGGCAAGCCGGTCCAGCTGGAGAACATCCGTCGACTGTCGTAATGCTATATTTTTGCTCAATTGGCTGTTAATTTTGTTTAGCGAACGAACGATATTTACCAAACCCAGTTGGAAGAACAGCAACTACATAGTTCCCATGTAATAAAAGCTGAAGAATCTGATTTCGAGTACGTCGGTAGCAAAAAGAAGGAAAAATTTCAAAGACTAAACGCATTTTTAAGCCGCTCTAAGCACTTAAATTTTGTGGACACTCGTAGGTTGGCGGCCATCTTGGATTTTCTAATTCATTATTATTATAATTTATTACACCCACTATATCTGGGTGTTGAAAGTCATGTGACCGGCCGGTGCCAGGGCCTTTTCCCGCCTTCCCAATGACAAAAAGGGAAAAGCCCTGGGAACGAGGTTTATATATATATATATATATATATATATATATATATATATATATATATATATATATATATATATATATATATATATATATATGAATGTTGTGGTTTCCCACGTTGACGATTCCACTCGTGTTACGTTATGTAGCGGTTTTTGAGTTGTTTTCAGACGAGTGTATACCAAACCGGGCAAGCAGAAAATTCTACTTGACCGCGGCTGGGATTCGAACCCGCGACCTTCGTATTTCTAGAACGATGCTCTACCGTCTGACCTACAAGGTCAAGCTGAGAAC